GGGTTTGAAACATTGGCAGAGGCTGAATAGGCTGGGGCTATTTTCCCTGGAGCATTGGAGGCTGATAGGTGTCCTTATAGAAATTAATAAAATCTTGAGGAGCATTGATAGGGTGACTAGCCAAGGTCTTTTCCTCAGGGTAGTGGAGTACAAAACTAGAGGGCATAGGTTTAAGGTGAGAGGGGAAAGATATAAAAGGGACCTAAGGGGCAACTTTTTCACACAGAGGGTAGTGCATGTATGGAATGAGCTGCCAGAGGAAGTGCTGGAGGCTGGTACGATTACAACATTTAGAAGGGATATGGATGGGCATATGAACAGGAAGAGTTTAGAGGGATATGGGCCAAATGCTGGCAAATGGGACTAGATTAATTTAGGATATCTGGTCAGCATGGACGAGTTGGTCCAAAGGTTCTGTTTCCATGCTGTACAGCTCTATGACTCTATGACTGTAAATAGATTATAAAAAGTTAGGACAACTTTCATTTTTTTTTGTTCCATCCATGGCTTCTTGATTTCCTAAATGGCTACGGGAAACCGTCACATGCTGCAGCCACCAAAGCTGTCCCTGAGGTCACAACACCAAGGAGGAAGCACGCTGAAGCAGTCCCCACTGCCACTGACTGGACCCAGAATGCTGCCTCTGCCAAAGCTGCCTCATCACCACCAATACTCCAGCTGCCACTATAGCTCAGAAATTGTTCCAAATCATGAGTGCAGGGGCTCATCACGACTTCTGAGAACTGATTGACCGTCCAAGTTAACTCCTGAGGACCAAGAGATCACTCACTCGAGAGATTATTCACTCTCCATGGTTGCAGATGCCACCAAAACATCAGAGGAAAAGAATGGACCCCAATTCATTGATGCTGGAACAGTTACTCAAGCTGTGACCACCACGGTCATGAAAAATAGACCGCATCCACCACTCAACAGCTCTCTGCAACCTCTCTCCACCACCACAGCCACAAATGGTGAATTTGATTCAAAAGTTAAATGAAGAAAATAAAACTTTTAAAAAAGGAAAGAAGGATGTGGCCAGTCAAGTGAGAGAGAGCGGATGGGCCCGGAGACCCCTACCCTGTCACCTCTGTCATCTTGAACCACTGGGCTTCCAAGAGTTGCTCATGGGAGGTTAGGCGGGGAGCTTTCAAATCTTCATGTTGTGGCATTAACGACCAGATTCCTTTTTCACAGAAATTACATTTCAAAAACTAGTTCCAACTCTGGCCACTTTCTGACAGACTAGCTATCTCCTCCACGAAGTCCCAGTAACCATTCAATATCTGCCATCTGCTTGAGTATAAGGTCTCTTCTGGACTTGCTGGATTCAATTCCCAGACACTGGCCTCATTAATGGCCAACTTTTGCTATGTGTTTAAACATGATGCTTTTCCCCACTGACAAAACATCCACAAAACCTTTTAATCAGGAGCCAACCAGTACTTAACTTCTAAACCTAGTCTGGTCTGTTTGATCTGTTTTTCTTTAAGGCAAGCTGTTGTCCATAGTCCAAAAGCCACCTTTAACTCACAGTTCCCAATCGATAGCTCCAAACCAAAATTGATAAAAGAATAAAATAAAAGTAATAACTCAACACAGGTTCTAACAGTAGTGTTTACTATTTGTTAACCAGTTTTTAATCCATATTAATGTGCAATCACTAGTATCAAGAGCCCTGATAAGCCAGTGGGCAAGTTGCTCACAGTAAAATGCCCAGTTTCTGACCTGTTCTTGTAGTTACAGTATTTATATGGCTAGTCCAGTTTGGATTCTGGTCAATGGTAACCCTAGGATGTTGATTGTAGAGGATTCAGTGATGGTAATGCCATTCTAGGTTGAGGGTTGAGGGGGGTGGGGTGATGGTTAGATTCTCTCTTGTTTGTGATGGTCATTGACTGGCACTCAAATGACATAAATGTTATTTGCCACTTATTAGCCTAAACTTGAATGTTGTCCGGGTCTTACTGCATATGGACATGCACTGATTCATTGTCTGAGGAGTTGTGAGTGGTGCTGAACATTTTGCAATGTTCCTACTTGTGAGTTTTTGATGGGAGGAAGGTCGTTGTTGAAGCACCTGAAGTTGTTAGGCCTAGAACACTATCTTGAGGAATTTGGCACTATTATGGTGCAGTGGTAGTGTACATACTCTGAAGCAGAAGGTTCAGGTTCAAGACCCACCTGTTTCAGAAGTGAGTCGTGACATCTGTAAAAGACTGATTAGAAAATACCTATTCCAAGGAAGTGCTGCAGCAATGTCCCAGTTATGAGATGATTGGTGCTTTGTGTTGGGCAAGACTTTAAGCAGCAGAGAGCTATCCCCTGAATCCCATTGACTCCAGTTTTGGTAGGGCATGAGTGAGCAGGTTATTGTTGATTAAGTGCTGCTTGATAGCACTGTTGACAACACCTTCTATCACTTTAATGATGATCAGTAGGATGATATTTGGCCAAGTTGGTTTTGTCCTGCATTTTGACATACCTGGGCAATTTTCCACATTGTTGTATGTCCAGTGTTGAAGTTGTACTGAAACTGCTTTGCTAGGGAGCATAGCTAGCTCTGGAGCTTAAGTCTCTAGAATTATTTCCAGAATGTTGTCAGGTTCCATAGCATTTGCAATATCCAGTGCTTCGAACAGTTTCTTGATATCACATGGAGTGAATTGAATTGGCTGAAGACTGGCATCTGTGATGCAGGGGACCTCAAAAGGAGGGCAAGATGGATAATCCACTGGGTACCTCTGGCTGAAGATTGTTGCAAATGCTTTACCCTTATCTTATGAACTGATATGCTGAGCTCTTCCATCATTGAGGCTTGGGATATTTGCAGAGTTTTCATCTCCATTTAGTTTTTTAAACAGCCACCACCATTCACAAGTGGATGTGGCAGGACTGCAGGGTTTCTGTTTGAACCATTGATTGTGGGATCACTTTGTCTGTTGTATTCTACTTCTGTTGTTTGGCATGCCAGTAGTTCTGTTTTGTAGCTTCACCAGGTTGACACCTCATTTTTAGGTAGGCCTGGTGCTGTTCTTGGCATGCCTTCCTGCACTTTTCATTGAACCAAATTGTTCTCCACCATGATAGTAATATTAGTGTGGTGCGTATTGCCAGCCCTCAAGGTTACAGTTTGTGATTAAATATATCTCAGTTTTTGCTGACGGCCCACAGTGGCTTATAGATGTCAGGTTTTGAATTGCTGGATCTGTTTGCATCTGTCTGATTTAGAGTGGTAATAGTTCTACACATCACGATGGAGCTTATCCTCATTGTGAAGATAGGACTTTGTCTCCACAAGGACTGCCATGGAGAGGTGCACCTGAGACAGAGATTATGAGGACAGCATCAAATAGATGTTTCCCTCATTGGTTGCCTCCCCATCTACTACAGACCCAATCTAAACTCTACATCCTTAAGAACTTAGCTAGCTTAATCAGTCGTCGTTTTATGAAGTCTCAACTGGTGATGGACATTTGAAGTCCCACACCAAAAGTACATTCTGTATTCTTTCCACCCTAAAATATGCTTCCAGGTATTGTTCAATGGGGAGGATAACTGATACATCAGTTGAGGGAGATCAGTAGGCAATTTCAGCATAAACCTCAACAGGGGGTTTCTTGCCTTTTTTGACTTGATGCCATGAGACTTGTTTGGGCCCAGAGTCAATGTTGAAGATTCCCAGGCCAACTCCAGCCTGACCATACAACTGTGATGCCACTTCTGGTGGATCTGTTTTGCCTGTGAGGTGATGCACATCCAGGGATGGAGATAGTAGTGCACGGTTCATAGATGTCCTCACAGAATAATACCTTACAGCATAAACCTTTTGCTTGGCTTGTTTGTTGCTAATAAGAGTTCTTGCACTTTTGCCAAGAATGTCAGGATAACTGAGCTATAGTTCTTTCTTCTTTCCATCTTTTTTGGAATAGTTGGATTGCCTTTGCTTCCTTCCAATTCTTGGGTCAAAATAATCAAATTCCCTCCCTAAGGCCATTGCGGATCAACCTACTGCACATAGACTGCAGCAGTTCAAGAAGGCAGCTCACCACCACCTTCTCAAGGGCAACTAGGGACAGGCAATAAATGCTGGCTGGCCAGCCAGTGACTCCCAAGCCCCATGAGCAAATAAAAAAAATTTGTGGGCTTTTTCTTGGTCAGACTTTAAAATAATTTAATCACGCCTCTCCAACTTCAGTTCATCCTTCTCTGGGATCTCAAGTTGTTTCCTCAGCCCTTTTCCTTCAAGTTGTGGAAGTTGAAAGTTGACCACTGAATGATTCCTTCCTCATATAATTTGTTTAATCTTCCATTAATTTTAGCCTTTTATGCACAGTAGCCCTTCCAAGAGAAAGAAAGAACAGGCAGTGGGGCACTAATCTATGTATGTAATTTATAATGGTTACTTTTTCAAACAACATTTTTTAGGGGGAGGAGTTGATGGCCTTGTGGTGTTATTGCTGGACTATTAATCCAGAGACCCAAGTGATGTTCTGGGGACCTGGGTTCAAATCTCACAACAGCAAATGGTGGAGTTTGAATTAATTAAAAATCTCAAATTACGAGTCTAATAATGACCATGAATCCATTGTCGATTGTTGGAAAAACCCATCAGGTTCACTGCCATGCTTACCTGGTCTGGCCTATATGTGTCTCCAGACTCACAGCAATGTGGCTTACTCTTAACTGCCCTCTGGGCAATTAGGGATGGGCAATGAATGCCAGCCTTGCTAGTGATGGCTTGATCTCATGAATAAATAAAAAAAAGTACTCCAAAGACGTGTGTGGGAAATGATGCAGTGGTTTTCTGTTAGCATTTGAGTTATTTTGCTGTATTCACTTAAGATAGAATTACCTACTTGTACGAACAGAATCATTTCCATTAATGCAACAAATGGGCAGAATGTGTTTTAACTTGGTTGTTACTACTGTATAACGTCCTTTTATATTTAAAGATAGTTATGCATACATCACTTATAACTTTTTAATGTCTCTCCTAGCAATTCAGGATGCATGTATCGGATTGTGCAAACTACTGGTCTGGATGGGAAGAACCTCCTGAAACTAATACCACTTTCCAACATGCCTGGACACTACATCCCAGCCATTTCTCTTCCCATTTCTGTGCCCACCACTGCTACCTCTTCCAAAGTAAATGTGTCAACCGTGTTTCACGTGACAGCATCACCTAAAACAACAACTTGTAATACGCCAACGTGTTTTCCTGTGTTACAGCATGCCAATACAGGAAAGATTCTAATAACATCACTGGAAGGATCAACCACCCAAAGTGGAACATCTCCCATCAATCCCTCACAGAAAAATACATTTCCAGCATCAGCAGTTGCATCTTTGCAATGTCCTAATCTACCATCAGTTACTTTGCCCAGTCTGCCTGTGCAGAAGATACAAGCTCCTCCCAGTTTAACTACAGGTCAAAAGTCTTCTAATCTGAGAACAGTTAGTTTGCCTGCTGTACCAGTGCAGGCGACCCAAGCATCTTCTACTTTGGCTCCTGATCAAATAATTTATAATCTATCAACAGCCACCTTTCCTGGTCCAGCTGTACAGACCACCCAAGCATCTTCCACTTTGGCTATTGACCAGAAGACTTACATGCTTTTAAAGTCTCCAGTGTTGCCTGCTGGTCATCATCTTCAGATCCCTGCAAATGCAGAAGTCAAATCTGTTCCAGCATCTTCTCTGCCCATTGCTATCCGGCAGAAGATCTTGTCTACTACAGCGTCCAATTTCGCTAACACAACTGCATCAACAAAGTCAACTCCAACTGTCATCTACGTTTGCCCAGTGAACACAGTGAAGACAGTGCAGAAGCGCCTCCCAAATATTCGTCCCAAGAACATTTTGAACATGACCACAACTTCTACCACTGGCGATAGCCCTGCTCTGAGTACTAATACACCTCCTGTTGTTGCCTGTGGTGAAGTTGTTTCTAATGCTGAGCAAAATTTGTCCAAGGATAGTCCAATGAAATGGATTGTGCAGGCCAGTCCGCAGTCTGTGGCACACTGCCTTATTCCAGTTAAATCTTCCAACAATCTGGCTTCAGAGATCTTAAAGAACTTGGCTGATCAGCAAAACATGGAGAGCGCCACTAACCTGATACCGTTACCAGCTACTGCGACTGCACAAATAGACTCTGACTTATTTTCTCTATTCAAGGAAAATGCCCTAGTTATGTACAATGGTAAAGTCTACCTAGTCGTGCAGAAGAATGGTGGATTGCCCAGCTCACGCCCTGAAAATTCTTCAGCTTCCACAAATCAAGCAGAGATAGACTCTACATTGTCTGCTGTTGCATCACCGACTGGTTTACTAACAAAAATCAAAGAAGAACCAGAGGATCCTGATCCTAAACCTGTTACACAGGAGAACAAATTTATAAATCGGCCAATAGATTCGTGTAGTACAACAGCCAATGACCAGGACAGGAGTCAAGATCTTCCAGGCACTCTGCATGAGGTGAGCTTTCTCATAGTTTTTAAGTTTTTGGTTAGGTAGTGTGAAGAAACATTTACACTCTCTGTCCTATACTTCATAGAACTGTAATAATATAGCAATACAGTATGGAATGAGGCCATTCAGCCCTGTGTGTCTGTCCCTAGTTTTGTCTTGCTTTGAATGTTAAAGTAGTTGATTGTTGCAATACTCAACTGCATTTTACTTAGAGTTCTAGTGAGACATTCCTAGTATTTTGTGGAACTGAAGTTTTTTTTTTACTTGTTAGGTTTACATATTCCAGATGTTGTTCATAACTTTAATATTATGCAGAAAGTGTGGTCTCTTGTTTACTCGCTCAGTCAAAATTCTGGAATTCCCTTCCTAACAACGTTGTGGGTCTACTAACAGCACACGGACTGCAATGGTTCAAGGAGGCAACTAACCACCATTTTCTCAAGGGTAACTAAGGATGGGTAATAAACGATAGTCCAGCCAGTGATGCCCACGAGAAATGATTGAAAAAAAAAACAAATATCTGATATTGTAATGGCCCTTGTCATTGGAATTTCCCAATCAATTCAGAACGGACGCTCAATGTCCACAAAAAAAACCTTACAATTAAGTGTACTGTATCTGCTTGATGATTAACTGAAGTACAGAGTGTTATGCTCAAATGGAATAGCAGACTGGTTTTGAGAAAGAAAGTTGGGACGTTAGACTGGGACTGACTCAGGCTATAGAGACATAATACATGTGTATGTGTAACAGTTGTATTCCTGTCTTCACTTTTGTGTTGGATATCAATAGATCCAAATGAACTACATTGTTAATTAACAGTTCGTTTCATCCTGATTTTTGTTGATTCATGCAGGCCCCTTGTTACCTTCTGCTGTTTTGCTTAGAGATATGCACAAAGATTGTGGAACAGCTATTTGAGCCTGCCTCTTTCCTGCTCAAGTCAGATTGTGATGAGATGGGGGACTACTGCTGACTTCTCATTTCACGTCAGGCTGCTGAGGCAAGACAAAATGTACAAACTTCAGTGTCTTGACTTTGGAGCCCTGCATTCTGTTGATGCTCTGTGATTCATTCAACTTGAAACTATTAATTATTTCTTGACAAAATATATTGCAATTCGGGCAGTTCAGATAATGCTAAATTTGCAGTTTACATTGAGTATATAATGTTAAAAAAAACCTTTGCACTTTTATTCCTGTTCAGTCCTTATTTAGTAACCCACAATTCATTCCATGCACAGAACATTATATACAAAAGAAATAAGCCTTTGCATTTGTTTAATGAATGGTTAGAGGATGATGTATATTGAGTATCATATCAAGCTTAAGTGATTCAACTTACCACACATCACTTGAACCTGATGTTTCCTTGTAAGGTACTTGCAGGTATTTTTTCTCTTGTTTTAATCACATACACTATGTGCCACCTAATATTGAATCATTATAGTGTGATGTTATTTGACTTTCACTATGCCACAATCTCACTGCTTGAGGAAAAAATATGTAGTTTTAATAGTAGGTAAAGTCAAGAGATAAAGTCAAGCAACAAAAGCTTAGAACTCTGGCAGCACCTGTGGAGAGAAATCAGAGTTAATGTTTCAGGTCCAGTGACCCTTCCTCAGAACTGATGGTAGCTAGGAAAAGGTTGGCTTTTTATGCAGAAGATGGGGCGGGGGAGAGGAGGGGGGAGGTAGAAGGGTGGTAAAGAGTAAAAGAGTAAGCAATAGGTGGAGATAGAGCCCAAAGAGAGAAAAGAACAGTTGGACAGACAGAGGAATGGATACTCAGCTTATGTGAATGAATGGCTACTAATTGAGACAATTAGCAGCTAACAATGGGTTGTGTATCATAGCAGACAATGTGATAACAAGGTCTGGTGCTTGGGTGTTTGGTAAGGACATAGGAGAAGGTGCTGCCTCAAACCCCAAAATTGTTGAACTCAATATTGAGTCCAGAAGGCTGTAGAGTAGAAAACGTAAAGTCAAGCACTTATTTCAAGTGCTATGAAATTTGCATCTGTAGCTTGAACATGGTTTTGTCATGCTTAGGCCACAACACAGCACTATGAATTTGGCATTGTTAAAGAGACTCACTGGCTGGAATGGAAAATGAAAGAATATCTCACTGGTGCAGCTCTCCAATGATGAAAACTGGAACATGTTAAAAGAGCTTTACTCTCTCCCTAGCCATGCTGATCAATTTGTAAGTGCTTTACGTTGACATAAGTTGTTGGAGTGAAAAGTGTTCCATTCTCTAGGACTAACACTTTTCACCCTGATGAGCTTAAAGTTAATTTATGTTCTCTTAGTTTCCCCCGGAGATGTCAGTCAGGATTCTGCTTTAGAAAAACCTACCATCAAGGAGCAGCCCCTTATATCCTGGAGGAGTTCCGTCAATTGAATGGGGTCACAACAGTAGGTCAACCAGTGCAACCAGTCCCATGAAGTCATGCTTTGAGCTTCCAATCATAACATTGTGCCAGTGACTACAGTCCAATGGAAAGGTTTCCATTTATATCAGACATTGACTATTTTTAAGGACGTTGCTTTCATCAAAAGCATTAAACTGAACAAAAATGATCCTCTCGACCTACATCTTCCCTTTTTTAATTTATAGATAAAATTATGACAGCTCATTGTGTTACGGTTTAATAAGATGTTGAGTTAAAATTGTTTTAAGTTTCACCCTGCAGGATTGATTTTTTTTTCTTGAACTCTAGCTCTCTGATTTGTCATTAGTTTTCATGCAGGGTATCTCATTCAGAGTGATTACTAAGTTGTAAACTGTTTAAGCACTACAGTTGCAAATCAGTAGCATCAATATCGTCACTGGTATGGTTTTAATATTATTGTCTCTTGTAGTAAAGTGTATCTTGCTTGAAGCTGACTGTAAATTACCATTGCACAGTTGTGCTTGAGAGCACTGCAATTCAAGTTTCTTCAGCTAAATTGTCAAGAAGTATCTGTATTTGTTTCATGATTAAAAACGTTATTCCTCTTATTTCCCAACCTCCTGTTAGCATTCTGAGTCGACTTGTGGGACTACAAGAGGGGAAACCGATGAACAGTTGTTGAAGAAAGCAGGAATTTACACCTCTGTGCGAATCTGCCTCACCAGAATATCCCAAAAGCAGCTGGACCTGTGGACCAGAGATGTACAGTTGGACAGACAGAGGAACACTTCCACCGCAAACTCTAAGCCACCGGAGTTACAATCTCAACTATCTATGAAAATAGATAACATAAAGACTGAAGCAGTTTGCAAACAGACGCAAGTGAATTTGATGCCTCCAGTCATTAAAACAGAGGCGCCTATAGAGATAGAGTATAATGCAACCCACACAAAGGAGATTGAGGTATATCTTCATTTCAGTAGCACTAATTTTTTTTTAGAAAACCGCTTAAGGTTGTTCTGTGTGAGATTTTAAACAGACTATTTTGAATAGAGTCTACAGCAATTGCTTGCAAATTAGTTTTCAGTGACTGTTGAGTACAGAGTCTTTAATTTCAATAACTACAAATACATCCGTTAATAAGCTACATTTTTAGTATAATTCAGTGTATTTCCCCTCTTTCTTTATTCTTCTTAAAATGTGTATTTCTTTTGGGACTGACAGACATTCAGTCCTCTTGTCATGTGACCCTGCTTCCCATTTGAGCTTCAAACAGAGTATTTAACTATCTTTTTAACTGTGGACAGCATCAGTGCAGGACGCAATCATGTTCTTACTAGATGCCCAAAATTGGCTCAGTGGTTAGTATTGCTGCCTCACAGCACCAGAGACCTGGGTTTGATTCCAGCTTTGGGTGTTTGTCTGTGTGGAGTTTGCATGTTCTCCCCGTGTGGGTTTCCTCTGGGTGCTCTAGTTTCCTCCCACAGTCCAAAGATGTGCGGATTAGGTGGATTTGCCATGCTAAACTGTCTGTAGTGTCCAGGGATGCGCAGGCAAGGATGTGTCACAGGAATAGAGCAGGGGACTGGGTTTGGATGGGATGCTGTCTTGAGCTTTGGTGCAGACTCGATATGCTGAATGGCCTCTTTTTGCAGTGAAGGGATTCTATTATTGCTATAAGGAACATAAATCCTGGTATATCCTTCTCTTAGTTCAGGAAAAACTGAAGTCAATTATAGCATCTATACTGATGCCCAGGCTGGTCTCAATCTAAAGACTTAATGGTCTTTCTTTTTTCAACTGGTGTTTTTGGCTTAGCTTTGAGCTAATTAGTACCAACGTAGCCAACTGGGGAACACTGAAGCTCCTTTAATGTGTATTTTTAAAATGTCTGAAAATGCCTTAGATTTGACAGTGGAATCATTAGAAAGAAAAGACTTGCCTTTATATAGAGCCTTTCACAATGTCAGGTTGTCCCAAAGTGCTCCATATTTAATAGAGTCAATTTGAAGTATAACCACTATTGTAATGTAGCAACATATGACAGCCTATACACGACTAGCAAAGTTTGACAAACAGATAACCATCCATAGAGAGATTAATACTGGCTGGGACATGAGGGCTAGACTCCCCTTTACCTCCCATGGTGCTATGGTATCAAGTACGTCAACTTGTGATGGAAGAAAGAGCCTCTCACGTGAAAGGGAGCAAATCCAATAATGTAGCACCGTCTCTACCATACTAAAGTGTCAGCCGAGATTGTGTGTTCGGGTCACTGGACTTGAACTGCCAACTTTCTGAATGGTTAAGTATACTAGGAACTGAAGCAACACTGAAACCAGAGGAATGAAGATGTTTTCTTTCACAGGCTAAAAATAAATTTGGCTATGTCTGCATGTAAAATTCAAAGCATTTCACTAAAGATGTAAATACAATCTTTGAAGAAAATTCTGTGATTTTATATGAAAGTAATAAAATCATCATGAGCAGGACCTTTTATATACAAAACAATCTTTAATACGTACATGGTAATTTTCTGATTATTTTTAAAAATTGCTTCCCATTTTAGGTGAAAGTGGAGCCTGAATCTCCAGTGAAAAGAAAAGCAGAAAGCATTCAGTCTTCACCAGCAGTTAAGAAACAATGCCTAAAACGATTCATTCCAAACTGGGAATCTGAGCATGCCTACAGCTGCCTTCCTGTGTACAATACAGAAGAACCCTCCCATGATACAGAAGCAACCTCCCATGATACAGAAGCAACCTCCCATGATACAGAAGCAACTTCTCATGGTATAGAAGCAACCTCCCATGATACAGAAGCAACCCCTCATGTTACAGAAGAACCCTCCCATGATACAGAAACAACCTCCCATGTTGACTCTCCCTGTGAACAGGAGACATCCACCAGCTTTCTTGAGCCTACCTCAGTGCTAAAGGAGAGCATTGGAATGGACACCCCGTCCGGGATAACTTTGGGAAGTGGGACAGAAAGTGCATCCAACTGCTCAGCTGTCTCCACAGACTCTGTTCCTATGGCCAGCACTTCATCTCCTTCAGTGGAATACTCTGTTCCAACTGAGATCAGTGCAGCATGCAGTTACACTCCTCTCCCTCCCTCAAGTATAGATGAAACTACACGTGATGAGAAGATCAAGCGGCTGAAGGCGATTCTGAAGGAGAAAGAGGCTGCGCTGGAGGCAATACGGAAGAAAATGGTTTTAACACCTTTATAAAATTCTTGATCTAAATTAAGATTTTGTGTCCATGCTGTGCTCTTTATTTAAATATCTGGATGATCAGCATTCTATGTGATCTCAGTCTCCATTGATCAGTTTAAGATGACAAATATTTGAAATGTTTGTCTTTAAAATATTTATTTTGCTGCATAGTTGAGAGGCCACTTTTGAATTTTAATATTTGTCATTTTAAATTGTAGCATTTTGATTTATAACCAGGAAAGCCAATGTAAAGAGTGAATATATAATAGTATAACTTTCTATTTACTTGTGCATTTCTTAGACCTGTAACTGCATTTAATAGTTGTGGGTATTGTTCATTCAGAGTGCTGGTGCAGACAGAACTGGCCGAAGGGCTGCTGTGTTGTAATAATTCTGTGGCTCATACTTGTGGACCAACAAACTGCGTTCAAAGGGAGTGAGTTCCAGGATTTTAACCCAGTTCTGTGAGGGAAAGACAATATGGTTCCAAGTCAGAATGGCATGTGGTTTGGAGGGGAATTTGCAGACTCTGGTATACCAATACATCTACTTGTATCTTTCTCGGCAATGAGTGGTGCAGATTTGAGAGATGTCCTATAAGTTGTGGCAAATTGCTGCAGTATATCTTTTATCTGGTACATGACAGCCATAGTGAGCCATTGGTGGAGGAAGTGAATATTTTAAGGTGGTAAATGGAGTGCCAATTAAGCAGGCAGTTTTGTTCTATTTGGTATCAATCTTCTTGAATGTTGTTATAGCTCCACTTATCCAAGAATTTAGGGGGTATTTTGTTACTTTTGCATGATACCTTTACATGATGGAAAGACTTTGTGGGGTCTATAGATGAATCGCTCACTACAGCCAACCCACCTTCTGATATGCTGCCATTAAGTATATGTATACATTATCTCTATTATACAGCAAGTTAGCTACTAGTCAGTTGTGAACCAAAGATGTTTAAGTTTGGAGTTCTATGATGGTATGTCACTGAATGTTGTGAAGAGTTGGTGAGCCATTCACCTGTTGGAGATCAGTCATTGCCTGGCACTTGCAAAGTGTGAATGATGATTGTCACTTGTCAGGCCAAGGCTGAATGTTACCTGACTCTTGATGCATATGAACATTGTTCCATTATCTGAAGAATTGCAAGTGGAACTGAATGCTCTGCAGGCATCAGCAGATGTCTCCACATCTGACCATGTTGGTGAAGCAGCTGAAATGATGGACTGAGGAAACTGCCTTGAAGAACCCCACCAGCAATGTATTGGAGTTGATATGGTTGGCCTCCCAGCAACATTTAATTTATGCTACTTATCACTGTAGCCAGTGGAGAGTTTTCACTAGATTCCCCTCAATTTGCTGGGGCTCCTTGTCAGTCTGCTGAGGTGTCAATTAATATTCCTTCTATTTGTCATTTTAATTAATTTTATTAATATTTATTTCCAAGTAAATAGGATTTTGGTTTAGAATTTCTGGAACTTAAGGTTCTCAAGACTTTGAGTGATGTCCTGAGTTACAGAATGTCCCTGTTTATGAATCTTTCCTTTTTGTGCAATTGATATATTTTATTAGAGCTGTGGTTGATATCCATTGTATATTATTTCTACATAGATGGCATTAAGAGTTATTTTTTCTTTCGTTCACTTATATTTGTTTAACTCTTAGAAAGCTCCAGGGTGGAGGTTAGCAACTAGGTAAAGTGCTCCTGTGTTTTACTGTGGCAATTCAGGATTGGTACCTCAAACTTTAGCCTTCCAAATGTGTGATCTGGATTTCTTTTGTTATCTGGAGTTGCCTGATCATCTTGGTAAACGTTTAAATATGGTGCACATTGGAATATCATTCTTCAAGAGAAAATAGACTAACAGCTAACAAGATAGTGATTTAGTGTTTAGACTGATGGCTAATGTATGGTAAGCCACTGCAGCACCAGTTAGTGCCTATCCTTAGGCTGTACGCTGACTATGAAAAAGAGTACCCTCAAGTTTGGATAGGCCACTGATGCTCATGGCTACTGATTCACTGCTTATTTATTTGAGCCTGACCATTAGATGTGTTAAAGCTTCAATTAAAAACTTCACATAAACTTTGGGGATGGCCCCGTGGTTTTAAAATAATTATCATAATGTTATATTGCTGATTGCAATAAGGCAGTCTTAACAATTACTCTTGATTTTGACCCATTTACAGAGATACTTCAGATCCTCGTTAAGATTTAGACCCTGGGACTTTGGAAGGAAATATACATTGCAAATTTGAATACGTTATCTTTCAACTATTGCATATTCATGAGCAGAGCTGACCTTTGTTCATCTAGGTCAGTTAGAAATTTCTGGGAGAGCTGTTCATTCGTATAAGTTCAAAAATTTCAAGTTTGGGTGGAAAATACAATTTTACTTTGGTCTCTTGCATAGGAGTAGAACATATATTTACTTAGTCGATGTTGGAGTATGTGAAAATACATAGCCACATATTGCAAGTGCCCATCTTAATAATCCCTAGTAGCTTGTAAGTAAGAAACCTTTCAGAAATGTATGTGGTCATTTGAATTGGCTTACCTACAACTTTAAAAAAAAAAGTTACTGTATATAAAATATAAAGTTGCTATTTGGAAAATTCTTTATACTTCAGCAGATAAATACTAGAACGTAACTGTCAGAAATGGTGAAACAACTGTAAGAAAGGAAATTGGCTTCTTAGAATAAAATCCCCCACTATTTAAAGAAATGTTTCCTGATTATTAACTTCTTTCATTATTTTATGTGGATAACCAAAAGTAAGTGCTGCTGAAACCCCACCTCCCACCCCAGACTAAAAGATTCTGCAGTCTATGGCAAAAGGCTAACTGAGAATTAAATAATATGTAAAGTTCATGTAATGTATGAGCCATTCAGCCATCCATGTCCTCACTCAACCTCCTTTTTAATAGGCTCAAGTGATAACTTATTATTGAGGAAATACTTCTTTTAGTGGAACAGATAGTTAACTTTCTGAAGCCTTGCAGTTTGAGCTGGCATTAAACAAACTGATTGGCAGGACTTGTGTTTGTACACTAATAACAATAGGAGTAATAAGCTGCCAGTTCTGAATGATCAATGGATCATATGTAAAGCTATCTCTGCATCAGCTGTTGAGAAGAGTGAAACCACCGTCATAAAACAAGTGGTGAGTATAGACAGCATGCTTGGGCAGAAAAAACTGAAGATGAATATGTATGCTAATGAGCCACATCCTAGATTTAGATCTGTTGTGATACCCATGAAATAGTTCATTGAAGAGGATAGGATTTTGGCAATAGTTTATCTTAAAGTTTCAAATAAAGGTTCCAAAAGTATTTAGGACTGTTCTAAGATCTAAGAATGGTCAGCAATAGGAAATTGTCACTCTACAACAAGTATTAACCCATTATTGGTTCAAGTACTTTCCCTTAAAGGATGAATAATTTTGATATTTTTAGATCTGAAAATTCTGACAAGTAAAGCCTCTAATATATTGTCAATGAAATGACTTGTGACTGGTTAGAATAATTTCAAGTACCTTCTGAGTGTCCCACTTTATCTAAGGTAGAGATATAACCGCAAAGTTTATCTGCCTTAAATTGAAGACTGCTCTGATGATTTATAGCCTGGGGATCAAAAGAAGGCTAGACTCTGAAAGATGACATTGGAGAAAGCCTTGGCAGCAATTTCGTTAAAAGCTGTGAAGGCAGGTTGTGCTCTATGTAAAAAAGTACAGAAAGGCATTTGCATTACAGCCCCAGTGCCAAGGCAATCAGGCATCATTAGTAATTCATTCACATTACAGGTAACCAAAACCCAAATCGCTAATCTCTCAACTAGGTCGCATGAAATTGATGCTGAATATGTTCAGATGAAGCTTTGATTTTCTGGTCCAGGTATAATGTTAGTAGTTTTCTGGATTTTGGGTCATATTTATTCAGCTGCAGTCAAACATTGATCTAGAAATACCTTATAATAATCTCTTGTCAACCTGCCTAGTATGAAGTAATTGTAGCAATTGACTGGAGCTAAGCACATGCTTTAGTGCAAGTCAATAAAGCTTTAAAATCATTATCTAAAACAAATAGTTATGGGCAATAACAGTGTTTCTGTAAATTATCAACTTAGTTCATGATGGATGTGAGTAAACCCTATTGGAACTTGATGAACAACTTTGGAAATTGGTAGCATTTGGAACAGTGATGCGTTGGGCACTGGATGGAGGGAGCTGGAACCATATTAAATGGCCATGTCTGAATTACGTAGATGCAAAACTTAAGATTCAGTACTCAGGTCAGATTGTATAGATATCTACATTATTTATTCTCAGATTTGAATGGATTAACACAGTGTAAGGGACATTACTAAACCCAAACATTCAGACTCCTTGTTTATAGGGTATGCCTGAATCTCTGCTGGAAAGGAATACAAGTTTCTGTCTTTCCAATCTAGGCCAATACAAGACTCAAAGTCTAGATTTTGCTGAGCATTAAGAGCAGACAGCAGATATTTGATAGTTATCAAATGTGGTTCTCAAAATTTCCACTGTAGTCTTAATGCTGCATAGTAGCATATATAAGTTTTCTATGAAGTGCTTTTCTAGTATAACTCAGTAAAGAAGACACAGATGGGAGTGAGAGAAGATTAGGCTGCATGTGTAATTGCAAACATTAAACATTCATGTCAGCACAAATTCACTTAAGAGTCATAAAAATGTACAGCACAGAAATAGACCCTTTGGCCCAACTCGTCCATGCTGACCAGATATCCTAAATTAATCTAGTCCCATTTGCCAGCATTTGGCCCATATCTCTCTAAACCCTTCCTATTCATGTACCCATCGAGATACCTTTTAAATGTTGTAATTGTACCAGCCTCCACCACTTCCTCTGGCAGTTCATTCCATACACATACCACCCTCTGCGTGAAAAAGTTGCCCCTTAGGTCTCTTATAAATCTTTCCCCTCTGACCTTAACCCTATGCCCTCTAGTTTTGGACTCCCCTACCCTGGGTAAAAGACCTTGGCTATTCACCGTATCCATGCCTGTCATGATTTTATCAGGCTTCAGAGAAAATAGCCCAGCCTATTCAGCATCTCCCTCTAGCTCAAACCCTCCAACTCTGGCAACATCCTTGTAAATCTTTTCTGAACCCTTTCGAGTTTAACAACATCTTTCCTTCATGGCCTAAAAGGAGATGATGCCTTGTTAACTTTTGTGACAAAATATTATTGGCATATCCCCATTGGGAAATAGATTTCTATTTTACCTTTGACATTTGATACAGTCAGCTGTAAACTAGAACAGTGGAGAATTTGTGCTCAGTTTAGTCAAATCCATGTTTCAAGACTGGCTCAGGCCAGTTTTGTATATGGAGTAGTATCAGGCTTGTAGCTGACCAAACAAATTCACAATACTGCCTATAATAGAAGGAATTTAGTCCCACATGCTTTAACTTTGTGTAAGTGTAATTTTAGTAGGTGATAACTAAAGATCAGCTTGGACCATTCTCACAAGGCCCCATCTGCATTCTAGGCTGAGTGGAAAAAGATTCAATTGATACAATATTGAAGACAAATAGGGGAGCTAGCTATTCTTATTGTTTTGGCCAATGTTTAACTGGTTGATCAATGTCACAAAACAAATGATTTAGTCACTACCACATCAGTGTTTGTGGGAGCTTGTTGTTTGAGAGTTAGCTGCCCTGTTTCCTACATTACTGCAATGACTGCACTTCAAATTTTCTAAATTAGCTGCAAGTGCTTTGGGATCTCCTGAAGTTGTGAAAAGTACAATAAAAGTTTAAGGCTGTCTTTCTTTCTAGATCGTCAGCGTAATCCCTTCTTTGAATATATCAACTACAATGTAATTTGAGTCCTTCCACCAAAAAGTAGTCGAACAACCTATGCCAAATGTGTAATTCTGTCTGTTGTTATATGCTTTGATCTGTAATTAAATAAGCTTGAATCAACTAAATATATCAGTTCTATGCGCACAAACACTCTGAGTGATGCTAAAACCTGCCACAAAGCCTCGATGTTGCTGAAATTACTGGGAATACACATTTTAGAATGCTGACGATCAGAGAGTCTTTGTACTGAATAAAAAGAGAAAGCAAAAGAGATGTCAGTTCCAATTATTTGTAAAAGTAAATTGAAGCCACCTACTCTCAACTCTGTCCACGTCAAGTATGACTTTCTTTCATCACTACCTTGCTCAAATTAAACCATGGCAACAGCGAGGGAAGGTCACGTTGGGCAATGCTTTTTCACACATATTTTGGCCAATAGTTGATGTTATGGCCTCACTGTTCACAAGATCACCTTGATAAATATGGGAAGATTCATCCAACCTGTCTTAACTCATACAGCCAGAGAGACCTAACATTATCCTTTTTTACTTCTTCAATAATTCCATGTTAGCCTCTCTAACTACCCAAAATTTCAGTCTGTGAACTGGAGCCTTCTCCTGAGTGAATATAGGCCTGAATTAGTTTTTTTCCTACTGCTTGGAACCTACTCCAGCTCTTGTGGTTTCAATTAAGACAATGTACAGTGTTAATTTTTCGACAGTTTTTGCTTTGTTTTATCCCTCTATAAGGTCTCCTTTATGTAACCCCTACCTGTGAAGAGCCTTTAAGTTTGAACCCCCATCAACTGTCTTCAGGACTTGAAGTGCCCAGAAGTTGTACAATGCTCAAGTTGCTACCTGAGTTGCATTTCGATATGTTTGGGCTGTGATGTTGCCTTATTGATTGCAACTCTGGGGCATTTGGAATTTGGACTGTATGGAAGTTCATAGTTCTTTTTCATCTATCCTTAGCTTTTCCTTTTTACCTCAGTGTTGTGATTAACACATTCTGCTAAATTTTGTTTGTAATAATCAAGTTTCTAATATTTTGCCTGTCTTATCTCTTGGTTCCAAAGTTGCTTCACAGTGGGACCAACTGTAAGCATCACATCTGAGGTTTGCAATCCAATTGTTAATCTGAATTGTTCCAAGGCTGACCTGGGGCTCCCAGGCACTTTGATGTAGTTGCTGTGTCTAGTCCTTCTAGATATTGTTTTAGCTGCTTCCAATACTGATCTTAGATCCCAGCCTCTTGCTGTGTCTTATGAGGAGTTGAATCATTTGAGAGTTGGTCATGTTTGTTGCTGTTGGCTTGGTTATGGGGTGGGTGTTCCTTCGTTCATGTGTATTAATGAAATAAAAACAAAACAACAGCTCCTCTAGCCTGTTTTCCAATCTATAAACCCATAGCTGATGCGGTTATCAGTTTGCTGCCTGTTCTCCATAACTTTAGCCTCTGTATTGTGCAAGTCTGTACCAGTCTCAGTTCTCAAGATGCCAACAGTCCCCTGCAAGCTCACATACTTCTACCTGGCATCAGTAATATTTGGATTTGATTTGATTTAATTTATTGTAGTCACATATACCTAAGCACAGTGAAAATTTTGTTTTACGAGCAGTACAGGCAGATCACAGCAAACAAGGACATACAGACCATAGAGTGTTAGATAGAGTGAGGCGTACAAGGTTATGGCTGCACAGGAGATGCACAAAGCAAAATCAACATTATTTGAAATTAGAGAGGTCCATTCAGCAGTCTAATAACTGCAGGGAAGGAGCTGTTCTTGAAGCTGTTGGTGACGGTGTTCAAGCTTCTGTATCTTCTGTCTGACTCAAGAGGTTGGAGGAGAGTATTACCAGGGTGGGAACTGTCCTCGATGATGTTGGCAGCCTTTCTTACTTGAGAAAGGATGTATTGGCACTGGAGGGGGTGCAAAGGAGGTTCACTAGGTTGATTCCGGAGTTGAGGGGGTTGGCTTATGAGGAGAGACTGAGTAGATTGGGATTATATTCATTGGAATTCAGAAAATTGAGGGGGGATCTTATAGAAACATATAAAATTATGAAGGGAATAGATAAGATTGAAGTAGAGAGGATGTTTCCACTGGCAGGTGAAGCTAGGACAAGAGGGCATAGCCTCAAGATTAGAGGGAGCAGATTTAGGACTGAACTGAGAAGGAATTTCTTCACCCAGAGGGTTGTTAATCTATGGAATTCCTTGCCCAGTGAAGTAGTTGAGGCTACTTCAGTAAATGTTCTTAAAAAAAAGGTAGATTTTTTTTGAACAATAAAGGAATTAAGGGATACGGTGAGAACGCGGGTAAGTGGATCTGAGTCCACGAAAGGATCAGCCATGATCTTATTGAATGGCGGAGCAGGCTCGAAGGGCCAGACGGCCTACTCCTGCTCCTAGTTCTTATGTTCTTTCCTCTGCAACTAGAGTGTAGCTGCAGTCAGTGATGGTCTGGGCTGTGCACACAACTCTGTAGAAAGTGACGCCCTCTGAGTTGTTTCTGAACGTGTGGCGTTTGTTGAAGCTGGGAGAAGAGGTCAGGCAAGAGCTGCCCCCTCTGCCACAGTAGAGCTCCTGCTGTTTGTGGGACTTTTCCCAGACAGGCAGTGCAGGTTTCAGGGCCTCGGGAGAAGTCTACCCTCTTTAGGAAGAGAAAGGGGGTGGGATCAGTGCAGAATATATAGTTGCGCTGCCAGAACGAGTGACTTCTGTCATTGAAGCGGCTTCCTTAGCTATCTGCGGTTTCCCAGAAAGCACAATGATTATACATTTCACAAATGTTGAAATGTGTGACAATGCGTTACCACTTTGATTGCTAACTCTCTGACTCTGACTCTTGTTCATTTTAGATGAGACCCAAATCGCCAGAGAAGAGCAAAGGCGGCCACAGCAAGTGCTCCTCGACAAGTAAGAAGTCACGATGTAAGAAGTGGCTATTGAACAGGGAGTCGGAACACGCGTACAGTTGCCTCTCGGGAGCTCCCGCTGCCGGAGGCGGCCACGGTAACCCCCAGGTGTCGCGGGCCAGCTCGGGAGCAGCGGTAAACACCGCTCTCGCGGGCAGCTCGGCTCCCAGCCAGAAACCCCTCACTCCGGAGGAGGGGCTGCCTCCTATCAGCGCCGAGAAAAGCACACGGGACGAGAAAATCAAACGGCTGAAGGAGATTCTGAAGGAAAAGGAAGCGGCGCTGGAGACGATCCGGAAGAAGAGAGTTTCCATGCCCTTGACCTAGGTTTATCCAAGAATGCAGGGTCCTGATCATTCAAGAACTGGTGTGCACCATTTTGTGTGATTTGCATCTCGCCTTCGAGGTTACAGTGATTCATATTGGAAGTGTTTTCTCTTTTTAAATGTTATTTTCACCGGCATTGGATAGAATATTTGCTATCTCACATTGGAGTGAAGTTAGCTCTTTATAATGAGGGTGACAATTCTAAAATATTGTACAATGTAAAGGACGTTTTAACTCATGTTGGTTTGTTGAGTAAATTGTAACGTTTCTGTACAATTGTTTTAATATACATTAAATCAGAATGTGCATTTCATTCCTCTGTATATTCTTGCAGAAATTCTGAGTCGATGGCTGAAGGTTAGATGCATATTTTTCCAAACATTGCGAGAGATTGAACATAAAACTAAGGATATTATGCTTCTGTCGGCGTTTCAGGAAAGGTTTATTAGATTGCAATGAGCTGGTTGTTTTATCAGGGAAAGTTGAACAGACCAGGCTTGTTTCCACTGGAGTTCAGAAAGACATAGGGTGACTTGATTGAAGTGGAAAAGATCCCGAAGGGTCTTGACAAAGTGCAGGTGGGAAGAATGTTTCCTCCTGTGGCTCAGTCCAGAAATTGGAGGCATTGTTTCAAAATTAGGCGTCACCCTTTTAGGACAGAGATGAGGGATATCATTTTCTCTCAGAGGGCTGTATGTCTTTGGAACCCAGCCTCAGAATGTGTTACAGGTGGGTCAATTGAATCTTTTAAAGGTGGAGATAAATTCTTGTTAGGCAGAAGAATCAGCGGTTATGCAGGATCGATGGGAATATTCAGTATACAAAGAGATCGATCATGATCTTATTGGTTGGAGCTCAAGCTAGAAGGGCCGAATAGCCTACTTCTAATTTATATATTCTTAATTGTTAGCGTCATATAGTCATCCAGCACAGAACCAGACCCTTGGCTCAACTGGTCCTTGGCTAGTGAGCTCGCCCCATTTGTCTGCATTTGGCCCATATCCCTCTAAACCTTTCCTAACCGCCTACCTGTCCAAATGTCTTTTGCATGTTATAATTGTACCCGTCTCTACTTCTGATAATTCCTTCCATATATGCAGCACCATCTGTGTGAAAAAGTTGCCTGTCAAGTCCCTTTTAAATCTTTCTCCTCTCACCTTAAACTTCTAGTTTTGGACTCCCCTATCCTCGGGAAAAGATCTTGGCCATTCACTTTATCTATGCCTCAATTCACCTTGTCTATGCCCCCACTACCGTCTTGTAGGTTAACCTGGGAAAACCCATAGTAACCGGGTAAGTACTTATTTACTTCACGTTCCTCCCATGTCAGCAATTGCATCGTCACTATCCTAACTTAGCCCTGGCCTTAGTAGCACTGTCTGAGATGAGACGTTAAACTGAAGCCCCCAGTCCATGTGAAAGATCGCATGGCCCCACTTCCGATCAACAGCTGGGAGTTCTCCTGGCCAATAGTAATCCGTCAATCAACGTCACAAAGACATTTGTTGTACTTGGGCGTGTGCTCATTGGCTTCCCCGTTTCCTATAGTGACCACGTCTGAAAGTGGACTTCATGGCGACGTCCACTCAAAAAAACACCGCTTAAAGGCAGGCTCTGCTTTTGATTTGCCAATTAACTGGGTCCCGAATGTTATTTTCACTCTCCATCACCATATTCCAGTAACGATGCTTTTCCACTTATTTTCCATACTTAAGGAAAGACTGTTCTCTGTTGAGGGTGACTTTGTTTACAAGATTTCCAGTCATGACTATTCCCCATTAAAAATTCTGTCTTTGGTGGACGTAAGGAAACAAGACCACAGTAGACAGCCGTTTTTCTGCTCAATCCTCGCGTATAAATCTCTGAACTCATGGTGGAAAACCTCTTCACTCGTCCACCGCTGATATCCGTGAGCTGTCTGTCCTGTGGAGCTGACAACAAAACCGTCTTTTTCGACATGATTGGAAGAGATACCTCTTACTTCTAATCCCCAAACAGAACGGATGGCGAGAGCGGTCTGCCTCCACAAACAGCCGGAAATTCAAAATCTCAACTCCCAGAACATCTGGATCGATAACCGGTAGGGAAAAAGAAGTCAACGAATGGCAGGAGTTCTCCAACGACATGCGAACAGCGTTCTCTGTATTTTGGGCTGGTTAGCAGTTGGATAGGCAGACCTCTGTCCAGCTGCCCGTTCAATTTATTCTCTTCGCTCTTTGTACATAACAGTTCAGGTCATAAAAACAGCGAGATTAACCAGACGCATCAAGCGTAAAGGATTATATGAATGTGTTATCTCTGATGTGCAATTAGAACGTGGTTAATCACTTTGAAATGTTGCAACGGAATACCTAACAATGATGTGAACGATTTGACGGTCACATTCAAGTTAGGCTCTATAAGGACATCAAAACACTCAAAGGTTGCATTTTACTGGAGGTTAATAGGAGATTTTTGGACTCTTCGTCAGAAACTATTGAACCGCATTCTTCACGGGGAGACATCAGCATGTGGACGCTATGACAAGTTCGTGCACTGTTCTTCCCCTCAGGAATATCTCTCCCAATTTCCTGGAAGTGTACAATATAGGATGTTCTGATGAAGGATCGTAGAGGACAGAAACGTTAACTCAGTTTCTCTCTCCACAGGTGCTGCCAGACCTGCTGAGTTCCTCCAGTTACGTCTGTGTTGCTTTAATCCAGGAACATTACCAAGCAACATTTAGCACCAAGCACACCAGGACGAGAAACGCGAGCGCAGGGACTCGCTTTTTAAAAAGCCGTTTGTAAACGAGGAGAGATGTGTGGAGGGAATTCCAAAGACATAAAGGAAGAATGCGCGAGTTAGTTGGAATGGCTTGGGGACAGAAGTGGGGAATCCCACTGAAATCTCACTCTATCGTTCCCACATTATAGATAGCTAATTGGTGAACTCAGAGCTCGATGCTAAATCTCTCAGTCCTGTTCACCTCGTTGAGCGATTTCATTGGAAAGGGCAAATGTTTATCTTTTAAAGATACTTAGTCCACGTTTACATACTCAAAGGCATGGCAAGATAGCAATGCTTCCACTGCTGTAACAATATGACTGATTATCATTAATGTAAACCTTCACCACTGTTAGATCACAACGTTTGAGGTTGGTGTAATAAAGGAGAGTTCTGTCAAGGGCTACCTACAATAACTAAAATGCACCTCCAAGAAAGTGGCCATTCATCTTAATGGTGGGAAAACTATTCGAAGTCCAAAAACAATTGGGAGATTCTTTTGGTTCAATTCTCTTCTTCAAACTGACCTTTGTTCCGAGATAGTAGGAACTGCCGATGCTGGAGTCTGAGATAACAGGGTGTGGAGCTGGAGGAACACAGCAAGCCAGGCAGCAGTGGAGGAGCAGGAAAGCTGACGTTTCGGGTCTGGACCCTTCTTCAGAAATCTTTGTTCCGGTTGTTTGACATTGTCCCTGGAGGCGCTCATGATGCCAAATCACATCAACCAATGTGTTTCCACACAGAATCCTTCTTGTTGGATTGCCACCCTGGCCCCTGGCGATGAGCTATGAAACAGCAGCCGATTGGCCAGTTCTGAAACACATTGTACCCGGTGTCAGAATCTACCTACACACTAAGAGACGCTGCAAGTGAAAGTTAGGAAGAGCGGAAGAGAAGGCTTTAATATAAAGCAGTCCGAATTTTAGTATCGACTAATTAAACACGTTGCTGGGTCAACCATGACAAACGCGATAACTGAGCTTCATCAACACTGACATACAAATAACGTCAAATCCAGAACAGCCAAACCCAGATCAGTCCCAAAGGCAGAGGGCGTTTGCAAAGATTGAACTGATGGCTGTGCTCTTCTCCCTGTTTATCCCAATATTTTAAAGGACAGGAGACCATTAGCAGGGAGATTAGACATGTCTTTGAAGAGAGATGACTTGCAGGGCTATGGGATAAAGTCGAATGACCTCCCTCCATACTATAAGGTTTGTAGTGCCCCATTTAGTTATTGGGTTTGAAGCATCACAATGGGAGATGGTCTGTCAACGCTGACACCATGTAATATCCTAAGCGAGGTAACAGACAAAATTGAAAACAGAAAAAGCTCACTTTTACTCCCTCCATGCCGCCTCAGACACAGAAAGCCAGTCCAGCTGATTGCAATGACCCTAATTTACACGCTACATACTTCTTAGGAGCTCCGCAATAGAGAACAACATGCTGCACAATTAGAACATAGGACTGTACAGGAGAGGAACGAGCCCTGCAGCCGACGATGTTGTCCCGAGCATGACGTCAAATTAAACTAATTCCTTCTGTCCGCCCTTAATCCATATCCTTCCATTTCTTGCATACTCATGTGCTGATCTAAAAAGTCCCTTATACACCCCTATAGTATCTGCCTCCACCACTACCACAGTCCGTTTCAGACTCCTACCACTCTCTGTGCAAAATACCAAGCCCTCACATTCCCTTTGAACTTTCCCCTCTCACCTTAAATGGATGTAATCACCCCTAAGTTAACCCGCAACCTCATAAACGTGGATATTTTTCCCCAATTACCCTCTTCAGAGATTTTGTGACACACCTCTGGAGCAGGTGGGACTTGAACCAGGGCCTTTTGGAGATAAGGACATTACCATTGCACCACACAGCCAGTGATTAAGCAAGGAAAGGAAGCCGGACACCATTTATCCTCTTGACCTGTACTTTAAAAGGGGATTTTGTCTTCTTTACATCTCTGTCAGTCATTATATTCTATCAAGAGTTTTTCTTTTCTAATTTGCACTTATGTTCAAATATAAGCAGTTGTGAGGTGGGACAGCGCCCGGAACTTGTAATTGGATGGCACAAGAGCTACACAGATGAAGATTTCGACTGAAGACATCATAATTGGGAAAAATAGAATTGTTTTACTAAAAACGTTTTCACTAACACACACCCAGACATACACAGCCAAACACACACACCCACAGACACACATACACACAGACTCGTACAGACACACAAACGTATCTTGAAGAAGGTGGCTCATACACAGACACACACATACACAAACAGACACACACACGAGCACACAGACACACACATCATGAAGTAGGTGGCTCATTCACACAAATGCACACATACGCACGCAGATAAACTTAGACAAGCAGACACACTGACATGCCTTGAAGAAGGTTGCTCATGTACACACAAAGACGCATACACAGACAGGTACACCCAGACACCCTTAGATAAACACACACACACACACACACACACAGAGGTACACCCAGACACACTTAGACAAACATACACAGACAGGGACACCCAGAC